GAAGATGAAGAAAAGGAAAGAAAGAAAGAAGAGAAAGAAAAGAAAGAAAGAAAGAAAGAAAAAAGGAAGGAAGGAAGGGAGGGAGGGAGCGAAGGAAGGAAGGAAGGAAAGGAAGGAAGGAAAAAAAAAAGAAAGTCTCTGAACTAAAGTTATCCCTCAAACTCCGGCCTTAAAATTCTCATGTGCCAACCTCTTCTGCCTAGAGGAACATGGGAGGGCATGAGGTAGAAGCGGTGACATGTGGCATTGTTGTGGAGTACAAAAGCCTCAAGACAGCCATAGTTATAGACACAGTTGACAAGGAAATTTGGTTGTTTCTGTGGCACATGGCAATCCCTAGAGGGATTGAAGGGTTTTAATTTCTGATTCTGTGTCTCATGAAAGCAGTTCATTTTGATTGTCATCTTCTCCAGGGTCTGAAGATGAGGCATTGATTCTCATCAATGTTCAAGATTTAGCAGGAGTAGTTTCCTTTTTCAGACCCAGGAGTCAAAACCCTGTAAGTTAACAGTGCAGGAATTAGTTAATAGGACGTTTGCATTGAAGAAAGTCCTGTTTCTCTCTAACAAATCACAAAGGAAAACACTGTGACTTGGTGTCCAGTAATTACACCCGAAGCACTTCAAAACATTGTATTAAAGTGGTTAGGATACTCCTTGCAGGTACCTAGTTGCCATCATTCTAATGATAGAACCATGATCAAAAGCATGAAAAATGTAACAGAACCTATACCAAACTTCTCAAAGTAAGGCAATTAACTTTTCTCGCCATCATTTAACAAATGGTAAATTCAAGCATCAGTTTAGGAAATTCAGTATGAGGATAAGTAATCTCCTTTTCTTTAAATACAATAAAACAAGAACAAAATGAGAATAAAGAGAGAATAATTTCTTTTCAGCTATTTTTATTTATTTATTTGAAACAGAATCTCCCTCTGTTGCCCAGGTTGGCGTACAGTGGTAGGATCTCGGCTCACTGCAACTTCCACCTTTGAGCTCCAGGTTCAAGAGATTCCTTTTCTATCTGATCTGAGAGATTTCGCTCTGTTGTAATTAGCAGCATTTAGTGTCACGCTGGAGATGATGGGCATAGTTAGTCTCATTGCCATCACGTCATTGTATGATTTCTGTGTTTTTGCTTTGTTTATGAAGTATCTTCCTACCTTTCTTAACTAGATTCATCTGTTTGGGTAAATGGTCTGTTTTCCTATAGCATTTTGAAATTCCATGTGCCTGATTCGTCAATATATTTTCTTATTCTCAAGTGGCCAGGAAGAAGGCAATCATGTACCTTAGCTCAGGGCACATCACAGTGGCTGCTCTGAGCAAGGCCCTTTACTGTCCTTCTTTTCCATATTTATCCCACTCTCATTCCCCTGTCCACTTCCAGAAACATGTTCAGAAGAGTTTAGTCTATGCCCTTTCATTTCACACTTTCTCTGCATATTTCAATAAGGGGATAACTTTGGAAAACATACATTGTTCTTTGCGTAGGGGTGGGTTAAAACAGCTTTAAAGTGTGAATTGGTTCCCCCAAAACCCATTCCATTCTCTTTATTCCATTCTGTGTACTATCTTCTCAACTTTTCTATTCTAACAGAAAAGTTTGTGTATAAAGATGGGTAGGAAAAAAAGAGTCAAGCCAATTTAAAATGGGAAAAACATTTGAGTGGTGTTTGTTAACAAAAGAGAATTTCTTCATGGCCAAATGGCATGAGAAAGGATTCTTGGCATAATTACTCATTCGGGAAACACACATTTAAAATGCCATGATACAGCATTACTCACCCATCAGATTGGGTAACATTTAAGAGACAGGGGAAAAAAACACTGGCTTCTAAGAATGCAGAGCAACTGTAACTCTTATTAGTAGCAAGAGAATAGAATAGTGCACTGGGTGCAGTGGCTCACTCCTGTAATCTCAGCACTTTTGAAGGCTGAGGTGGGTGGATCACTTGAGGTCAGGAGTTTGAGACCAGTCTGGCCAACATGGCAAAAACCCATCTCTTCTAAAAATACAAAAAATTAACCAGGCATGGTGGTAGGTGCAGTAATCTCAGCTACTTGGGAGGCTAAGGTAGGAAAATTGCTTGAACACAGGAGGCAGAGGTTGCTGTGAGCCAAGATGGTGCCACTGCACTCCAGTCTTGGTGAAAGATTGAGACCTTGTAGAGAGAGAGAGAGAGAGAGAGAGAGGGAGGGAGGGAGGGAGGGAGAGAGAGAAAGAATACAATAGTGTAACCGTTCTAAAATACTGTCTGGTAGTTTCCAATACAGTTAAAAATACACCTGCTTCATGACCCAGCCATGGTCATACTTAACTTCATACTTAACAGAAATGAAGGCACAGGCCCATAAAAAGGCCCGTAGTAGAATATTTGTAAACACCTTATTCACAATCGCCAAGACTAGAAACAGGCCAATTGTCCATCAACTGTAGTGTATTCACGTTAGAATAACACTTATCAATAACACCAAAAGGTTGAGATACATGCCATATAATGGAAGCATCTCATAACCATTGTTGCATTTAAAAAAAAATAAGGCAAAATCAATACACTCCTGTAAGTGATTTCAAGAATAAGCAAAAGTAAATCACAGAGATAGAAATCAGAATGGTGCCGGGTGCAGTGGCTCAAGCCTGTAATCCCAGCACTTTGGGAGGCCGAGGCGGGTGGATCATGAGGTCAAGAGATCAAGACCACCCTGGTCAACATGGTGAAACCCCGTCTCTACTAAAAATACAAAACATTAGCTGGGCATGGTGGCACGTGCCTGTAAACCCAGCTACTCGGGATGCTGAGGCAGGAGAATTGCCTGAACCTGGGAGGCAGAGGTTGCGGTGAGCCGAGATCGCGCCATTCCACTCCAGCCTGGGTAACAAGGAGGAAACTCTGTCTCAAAAAAAAAAACAAAAAAAAGGAAAGAAAAGAAATTAGAATGGCGACCACCTACGTGGGGATGGGGTGAGGATTGACTGGAAAGGGGCTCTACTGACTTTTTGGGCTGGTGAAAACTTCCCATAACTTGATCTAGGTGATATTTTCTTATGTCTAAATGCACTGGGCCACGAACTCAAGATTGGTGCACTTTGGTCATTTACTGATAGAAAATAAATAAATAAAAATTGGGGTTGGGGAATGTCATTAAGTTTCGATTTTATTGCATTCTTTAGGTTTTACTTAAAATACCCAGTCCGAGTGAGAACTCTCATCTTCTCTTGTTCATTTCTGACTTGGTCTGAAAAGGCCCCACGGATATTTGAAATATTTGAGCTAGAGAAACAGGTAGGGCCACATCATGTCGACAGCAAAAGATTCCAATAAGATTGACGGAGAGGGAGCTTCTCACCTTTTGGGTGTTGCACTGGCTCAGAGAGGGGGCAAAAGTCTAGCCTTTCAAGATGATGCGCCCCGGCGTGCAGCGTAGGGGTTCCTTCTATTCTCGCCACTACAGAGAGCTTCCAAACCACAGGAAAGTTGTAATCTCTCTAGTCTCCGCTAAATGGGGCATCGTAGGCTGCGGCTGGAGGCTAAAGGGAAAGAAGAACGTTCCACGCTAAAAGGGACACTGCCTTGGTTGGGACTGGAATCGAGATTGGCGCAGCCACAGCGCAGAGTTCTAACCACAATGCGATCACATGGAGCCACTGGAGCTGAAGCCTGCGCGGCTCCTTCTTTAAACTTAATGTATTGGGCTGCTTCCGTTTTGGAGACCTAAAAGTCCACCTAGATTTCGTTCTTTCTTGGTGTCTCTCCATTCCCTGCCCCCTTCTTCCACCATTCTGCTACAACACACACACACACACACACACACACACACACACACACACACACACTTCTCATCTCTCCATGGTGCAGTCCTCACCACTGCACAAAGCTACTGCAAAGTTTTGTTTCCCGGGTTCCTGCCTCTGCTGACTTCCTTGCCTTCTTCCTGGCAATTCCCTGTTTGACCCACCCCCTTCCCCACTCCAGGCACACACCTGAGCTCCTCAGCTCCACACGTAGAGTGGCTTGACGGGGCAGGACCCCTCTCTTGCCATTCGCCCCCAGAGGTCCTCGCCCCTTGCCCTCCTCCCGGGAAGCGATAAATCAATGGGAATTAATGTTTTTTGAAAAGAACTTACTTCCCCTTCGCGACCAGTCTTGGTGACATGGCGAAATGCTGTCTCTACAAAAAATACAAAAAGTAGCTGGGCGAGTGGCCTGTGCCTGTTGTTTTAGCTGTTTGGGGGCTGAGGAAAGAAGATCGCTTGTCCCCGGAGGTCGAGGCTGCAGTGAGCCATGTTTGCACCGCTGCACTCCAGCCTGGGCGACCAAGTGAGACCCTGTCTCCAAAACAAAACAAAATAAAACAAAACAAAACTTCCCCCTGGAAAAACAGTTCATGATTTCTATTTTCAGGGCTCCTTAAAGAATAAAAGCTAAAAGATTCATTTGACAAGACCTATTACAGTGGTATCCTATCCCCTAGGTGCACGCCCTGGTGAGTGCCAGACCCTGCTGCAGAGGGGGGACCCACCAGCGACCCTCACCACCATCCCTGCCCTGGTGGAGCCCCCATGTGAGAGACAGAATTTGAAGATGGCAGCGGAAGCTCTGCAGAGGCGCCGAAAGAGACTGGGCATGATGGGCACAGGCTGCCTTTCTCACTGAGTGAAGACGGCACAAAGAATGGGAAGAGCCCTCCCGGCTGGGAGTTCAGCTTCCCTTGGGCTCCAGGCGGCTTGGGCCGCTGACCGGGTGTTTCTGGGGGCTTCTGAAGCAGGCCAGGGGCAAGGCGGCTGAAGGCCATTTGGCTGTTCTTCTGGCTCCAGAATCTCCCAGCGCAGGTGTGCAACGTGACCAGAGCGACTCAGGGCTCTAAACTCTCAGGTTTTCCAAGGCCTTGCACAGTTGTCTAACGGGTGGTGGCGAGGAGAGGGCTGAGGACCCAAGAGATGGGGGTAGTTTGGTAAGTGCACGCTGCCTTCGGGGCCCCGTAGATCCAGTGGTTGTGGTGTCTGTGGCACAATTGGTTAGTGCGTTCGGCTGTTAACTGAAAGGTTGGTGGTTCTAGTCTACCCAGGGATGCCTCGTGTTGTGTTTTAACTAGTTTCTGTTGATACATAATCAACCAAGTTAATCAGGATATACTCGTGTCCTCTTCTCCACTTTCTTAGGTCTGAGACTTGAGAATGACCAACTGTGCCTTATACCTGTCAAACTAAGGAATCCCAGAGAGGGTAGGCAGTAATTCACTTCTGGTGTGAAAAAAATCTTCTTTGCTCCCATGGAAGGCTTGGGTAAGTAAGGTGCCTCAAGTTTTTAATTTATAATAATAGGAGACCTATTACAGTGGTATCCTATCCCCATGAAGTTCCTGGGTTTACTGACTGCTCTATCAATGTGACCAGTGGAATCAGTCATCCTTATGGTGATTCTTGCCACTGTTTGTAAAAACAGCTTTTCTTCCTCAGTTTGTGCACGATTTATTTAACTCTTTTCAAAATGTTTTTGAAATGAGGTGTATTTCATGTTTTGGGATTACAAATGATGCTGCAAACACCACCATTCTTGTACACATTTCTTTGGTCACTGCTGCAGTTATTTCTATAACGTAGAGAAAAGGATTTGCCATTTTTACATTCAGCACTTATTCAACACTTCTAATTTGAGTACATTCTACAAATTTATCTTTCACGTGGGTCTGGAACGATGGGCCACAGTGACCTCTTTGAAAGCTTTCTGTTAAGTCACTTATTCAAAGGGAGCAAAATCACAAAGTTCCCAGGTGATATTTTTCTTCTCACTGTCCCTCTTTCCTTCATAAATCTTGGTTTTGCTTTTATTCTATGAAACAAAACTGACTCTCTTTCTCCCTCCTATGCGATGGTAGATTAGCTGCAAATTTGTATTCTTTGATAGATTTCTGCAGGGGCCATGTACATAACAATTAGCCCATCTGAGATACATCATTGGAGCCAACAGAACCCTGCACCCAACAGGCACCTTGTGTAGATTTGGACCCTTAGAGCTACTGGCTCATGTTCCTTTGGCTTTTCTATTGAATGTCATGATGGAAATTGAGCTCTTTGGTCTTTACTCACTATGGCTATAGCATAGTTTCTCTCTCTCTCTCTCTCTCTCTCTCTCTCTCTCTCTCTCTCTCTCT